ATAAGTCTTTTCCATGCGACTTAAAACTGGTGGATAATCTATTGTTCACACTGAATTTCTGGTACCTGTATAGTCATGTAAGCAATCTTAAAATATACAAAATTGATATATAAATTATTTGAGACAAAGTAACCCATTTCAAGGCACCAAGTTGAGTTGTCACTTCAAGAGGGGTAAGCATTGTAAAAAGCGATGCACCCTTCAGAAATCATTCTAATAATCCAGCGAGCACTTCCCAAATTATCCTTTTTAGTTCTACAGTGAGAGACAGACATGATAAGATTACCTGTCCCAGAATTTCATCTGTGTTGCCCAAATTAAAAGATCCTTTTGAAGTTCATATTAGACTTACACGACAGACCAGATAAGGACTCTAAACCAAGGCAATTCTGGGCAAAACACTAAGAGGTCACAGCATTCTAATTTGAACCCAAGTTAAAAGTTTTCTTTTAATACAGAATTACATCTGACCTTAAATATGACCTTTAAGTGGGGGTAGGTAGGTCATAGGACCAGGAAAAGGAGGACAGAAAGTTAAGTGGCAATAGATCTCCAAAACTATGACATAATTCAAACAAAACACCCACTTTCTCAGTGAGTCTGCTCCATTTTTTTGTCCCTCCAAAAGTTTTTGCAGCTCCAAAAGTACTCTCATTTAGATGAAAAAAAAAGATCCTTGCTTTAAAATGTAGACAGAAAGTCCATAAAAGGACAGAGCATGGGAAGTTAATGATCTGTGAGATATAGGACATGTCTGATTTGTTTCAAGACTTTTGCAGAGTATTTTTGTTAGTTCTTATGAATACTTCTGAGGGATGGATCAGTGTGGGAGATGGTGTAAATGGAATGCTACAGCATACACTGCTTGTGCAGCAAGTGCACAGAGGACCACCAACAAATATGGTGGAAGATGAAGACACAAGTAAAGCATACCTGAATACCAGCATGACTACACAGGTAAAAGTCAAATTCTGATGGATGGGTGATTTTTGTGTCCACTGTAGTACCTGCAGGAATGTTTCCACTTTTTCCAACCTACAGGAACAGAATAAGAAGTCACAAATTACAACAATGAGGCACAGTACAATTTAGTTAATTTTTCTACTCCATTAGACAGTAAAGAAATATCCAAGAAAAGGAACACCAAAAGTATAATATAAAGAAGAATGCTCAAATGCAATTTTTTTCCCCAAAAAGCCTGAAAAAAATGACTAGCAAAAATGAGTTAATTCAGGCTGCAGTCAGGAAATTAGACTTCTGTAGTTCAGATGCACCAAGAAAAAAAACATGTTTCACTAACACATTTCTTAGATCACTTGGAACATTCAATACCCATTGATAAAGTTTGGAGGAATTTTCCTGCAACTGGCTGGTCACCCCCCCTCTCTCAACTTAATATCCTAGGGGGTATTATTCCACAGTTTACTTCTCTTCACAGCACCTGAAGAAGGTATATGATTCAAGAGCAGCCCCCCTCCCTAAACTTAAAGGTCAGAATTAAATGCAAAAGAGAAACCCACACCTTTTGTTTTTTCTGGATTTGCCATTTGGGATCAGATCAGCTATAGTGAAGTATATCTATACACTTAGTGCTGCAAGTAACCAGATGGAGTCTACTAAACTTCAAACCAAAGTAGCTCCAATTCTGTATCAGAAAAGGCCGATGCTAGGCCAAAGACAGGACATGTTCAGAATTATGAGCTCAGGTTTAAGAGCAAGAAACTGCTCATTTCTAACACCGAGTCCTTCACTGACCTTGGGGAACCACTTGTTTTAAATTTCCTCCTCTGTAAAAAAGATGACACCCATACATAAAATAGAATACTTGCATACATGCCTTATAGGGATGTTGTGAAGTTTAGTTAATAAGCTTCAAAATGTTTTATGAGTAAGTGGTGAAGTATAATAAAACATAACCTTAAATGGACTAGAAAAGTGAAGGACCATAGAACTAGCTAACATGGCTTTTCTAACACCAATGAACAGAAGCTCTGTTCTTGCTTCCAAGCTATCTAAAGGAACAACCAACATATGATGAAAACAATAATGGATGAAAATATTTGAGCTGAAAAAAGGCCCCCCAAACAACCCTGTCAACAGCAAAGGATCTGAGTGTGTACACAAGATGTGGACTCCTGTTAGTGGATCCTTATTGCTGCAGTTTTTGTTTTCTTTAAAACTTTGCATCATTTCTTTCTAAATAAGAATGGAAACGAAAGTTTGTCTTAAAGGGAAAGCAGGAGGAAAGCCCCTAGGCCCCTGTAACACCACTGTTAGTGTTCAAATGTTTGCATATAAAATAGTAAGTTCAGGGGAAAAAATGTCTACAGTCTATGCCAGCAAACTATGCAGACACAAAGAGAACAAAGGGAAAAAACCACAGGAACTATGGTCTGGTGGATAACCAGTGGAACTGGGACTCAGGAAGTATGGCTTCTACTTCTATAACTGCCAGTGACTTGTTACATGACCATTTACCAGTCACTTCCCGACTACTTCTCCCCCCACCACCTGCACCTACCATCACTAGGGCATTGCTTTGGGGAAGAGATCATCTCTTATCACTGGCTACCCAGTTCCTAGCAAGAGCTCCTCAACCCTGCTGCAGCATCTCGGCAGTAATATAATTAACAGGCACTTCACTTTTCCATTGCCCAAGTTCAGCAAATTGTACGATTTTACAGGTCATGTAAACCTAGAGTAGTGTTGAATTTACTGATGTAGACAAGTGATACATTTGATTCAGACATTATTTTGGCTAATTCTGGGGTAGCTGGATACCAGTGCTGCCAACCACTTGCTCTATTTATGCAAGACAGCACTGACAGTCTGGGAGAGGCTCACCCTTTGTGGTAGGCAACTAGTGCTTAGGAAAGTGCTGGGACTGACAACAGATTTATTTTCACACTAGCTTTGTTCCTCTTCTTTTTTTTTTTAAACCTGGACCTAGACCAAGTAAGTTTCTCACCATACACTATACAGAGTAAATAAAGGAGACTAAAAACTACTGGTATTAATACCCCTTCCCATTCCCCTGCCTGCTTTAGTTGTATTCACCAGGAAGTCAAGGCAACAGTGGTTCAGATTCCCAACTTGAGACTAACGAGAAGAGGCGTCTGTTGTCCTGTTTTCCTGATATCAAAAGGGAAGAAGTTAAGGCATGGTCAAAGGTTGTTCTGGCAGGGACATTTTCTTTCCACCTTATTTTGTCCTCTAGCCTCAGTTCCACCCCAGGGAGTGTGGAAATGGATGAAGTTCTTTAAACGACAACTGGCTGGATGCAGATGCATAAATGAAATAAGAATGGAAAGCCTACGGTCCGTATTGAGTCAGAAGAACAGAGGGATTTCTCATTAAAATAACCAACTGCTCAAGTTAAATAACCAGGCATCCAATATTACTGCTCAATGCTGCTTCTACTTCGACGACTACAACGCAACTGTGACAGCTCCATGATTCTGCAGTGATACAAATATAGCAAAACTGCTCCAACTTAAACCCTGTTTCATTCAAGGGTCAAAGCTAGTGTCATTTAGCTAGCTTCCATTACTATTGGCTCAAGCAGACTCAACAGATCATAACATCAGCTACAGGCTCGCAAGTAGCACCTCCTTCAATACTTTTTAAAGTAGCTAAAATGCAAGTTTGTTCATACCCTTACTGATATGAATATTCCTAGTACAACCAGTGATTTCTTTTAAGTGATTATAACTATTAATGCAAATACCACTCACTTGAGAAGGATCTGCAGGACTGGATCTTTAATGCACAAGTTTTTGTCCAGAAAGAGGTACCTATATATGCCAAGTAACTGTTTGAAGAGCAACATGTAGGAACTACAACTAAGAACAGCGAGACGAAAAGAAGAGTTTTGGATTGTATAATAAGGTTTCACAACAGAGAGGAGATGGAGCAACCGGCAAAGCCCAGAAGCATGGGAAACACCCACAGTAGAACACAGGCATAGCTACACCTAGATCATCCCCAACCAGTGGCTGTCCAACCTCTTCTTGAGTAGCTCCAGTGACGGTGAGTCTACAACTTCCCTAGGCATCAATTCCTATAGTGAAGAAGTTTTTCCAGATGTGCAGTCTAGACCTACTTTGCAACTTCGAGCCACGGGTCTACACCCTCTTCTCTACAGCATGAGAGAAGAGGTGCCTTTCCTCTTCTTTATGGCAGCCTTTCAAGTATTTGAAGACTGCTATCACGTCCCCTCTTAAATACTGCTTCCTCAAGCTGAACATGCCCAGCTCCGTCAACCTCTCCTCATACAATTTACTTTTCCAAGCCCATGATCATCTTTGTCCACCTGTGGACCTTCTCTAACTTCTCCATGTCTTTTTCTAAGATGCAGAGCCCAAAACTGCACACAGTACTCTAGATGAAGCCTACCCAGTGCTGAGTAGAGGCACTATCACCTCCCACATCTGCACCTAATGCTTCTATTGATGCATCTGGAAAGCACATTTGCTTTGGTGGCTGCATCATACTGCAGTTTCATATTGAATCCACTGTCTACAAGGACTCCCAAATCCTTTTCCATAGTGCTGCCATCCAGCCCTGTTGTATTTGTTTTTGATTATTCCTCCTGAAGTGTAGCACCTTGTATTTATCTGCACTGACCTTTATCCTGCTAGTTCCAGCCCTAATTTCTAATCTGTTGAGATTCTGCTGAACTGTGCTCACATTCTCCAACGTGTTTGCAGTCCTTCCCAGTTGTGTGTCATCCGCAAACTCGCTCAAGAAGCTTTCTATGACAGCATCGAAATTAAGTCAAATAGTTCCAATCTGACTAAACCACCCATTGCCTTCTAAGCTCCATATAGAAAATACACTGAGATGGAAATGCCCATTAATGCTGCTTTCTGAAAAAGGAAGCTGGCCAGTCCTTCAGCCCAGGGGGGTCAAACATCTGTCCTGCAGTGCTTCTCTCTGGCTGGATGACTCTTCTCCAGATCTGGCCCACGGGACTTCTAACCACAGCTCCAAGAGCCACTGTGCCGGTGCAGCCAGCCATGGTGCTCATGCCACAGAATTTCTAATTCTTGACCGCAGCTCAGTATGCAAATCAGTGGTGGGGCAGCAAGCTGTGTTAACCTGTGCATGGTGCCTGTGCTGACAAAGCAGCTCTGGCAGCTCCAGTGAGAAACCACGCAAGCTGAACTCAGCTTGCCAACTCATTTGAGTTTTACAACTCTACTTCAGCCCATGATATTTAACCCAAAGCCCACGAGTAGTTAGAGAAACACAGATTTCTTCACAGATGGTAAAATATATTGATTAATCCACAGATAATGCAATTTAAATGGAAATGAGTGAATTCAAATTTATTTAAATAAAAGAGGCAGCTTTGATGCATGTAGGGGGATTCAGGCAATGTGCTGGTCCTTGACAGGCAAATATTAAGAACATACCCGTTCATTTTTGTCTGTACAGAAGAGTCTTGTGTGATGCCTTTTCTGCACAACAATAAATGTAATTCCTGGCTGGTAGTCCTTTTCTAATTTAATGCATGCTTCTCTGATAGCCAACAGTTCATGATGGAGAACCTAAAGCAAATTAACAAAAATGTGATCAATATGGGCTGCAAAGGTAAAACTAGCATTAAAATTACTTTTAAAAACTGCCATATCATTTGCATTTTGTCCCCTCTAAATCATTCCCTCCCAGTGCTGCCAACGAGGGAGAGATCAGCATACACAAACATGTGTAGGATCAGACACTACAGGTTTCCCTTGATTTACGTGGTATGTGTGTTCCCAGAGAACAGCGCATAAACTGAATTTGCATAAAGCGAACCCACTTTATAATGTAAGAAACAGGGATAGGTTCCCATGGCAGTGAGGGAGGGAAGAGTACTTCCAGAGATACACATGGCAGCCAAACAGAGGGAACAGAGCAGCACTCATCCCACCGCTAGCTGCTGCCTGCAGCTGCTGTGCTGCACCGTGCCCTGGGCCCATGCTCTACCTGTCCCCAATTCACCCCAGCTCCTGCTGCAGCTGCCCTGGGAGTGGCTGATGCCAGCTCCCTGTAGCTGCTTCACCACGCCCTGGTGCAGGCAGCTGATGTCAGCTGCTCCACCATGGGCAGGGGTGAGTGTGGACAAGTAGAGCCCCAGGCCGTGCGGGGCATGGCACTCACCCCAGCCCCAGCTGTAGTGGCCCTGGGAGCAGCCAACACCAGCTGCCTGCACCAGGGCACGGTGCAGCCCAGCAGCTACAAGCAGCTGGCACTGGCTGCTCCCAAGGCAGCTGCAGTAGAAGCTGGGGTGAGTGGGGATAGGCAGAGCCCTGGGGGGCTAGGGACACAGCATGGTGAAGCCCAGCAGCTGCAGGCTGCTGGCACCGGCTGCTCCTGGGGCCGCTACCGCTGGGGAGACTGAGGCAACAGCTCTTTCCCCTCCCCCCACAGACTAACCTGCTTGGGTGGGGAGGCGCATCTATGCTGATCATATAAGAGCAAATTTACCTCGCATATAACAAATCATGGGTCTAATTATGCTCATTGCATAACAGCAAATTCACATATAAAGAACCCGCATTAAAATAGAGGGAAACCTGTAAATCTTTCACTTCCTGAAAATAAATCATGTGTCAAGTCCTTGAAGCAAGACCCAATGGGCCACTAATGTATCAGTATAGCTCCAAAACACAATGCCTAGACTATAAAAATATCGTGGCATGCAACCTATTATTAAATGGACAAATAAAAAGGCATAACTGAGCAGTCTATTGAACAGACTACAACCTGAATGTTTTTCAGAGTAGGGAATTAAATATAAAATACTTAAATGTTTGTACTTGTCCCCAATTCTTTGAGTGCAGTGTGTCAGGGAATAGAGAGCAAGTTGCAATGAATTCTTACTAAAACATGGTAATATGAGTGCTGATAATCTGGAATTTCTAAAAACTAAAATATCTTAATTATGAAAGAAAATATCAAAGTTATTTATTGACATGCACACATCAAATTCATACAAAGTTGGACATTAGGAATGGGATTTGGCATAACCACAAAAACTGCAGAAAGGGGATTAAGCTAAACAACCTTCAAACTGAATGACATTATACAATTTATTATGAAGCCCTTTTTATAAACGAACAGTTAAGATCCTGAAAGCTGGGAGGGCCCTTTTTCTGCATTGTTTTGCTGATGCCCGAGACCTATTAGGAGGAAAAACAATACTCATCCTAACTCCAATTTAACAAATGATACTATCAGAAAATTTCAAATGTCAAAAACATTAACCTGTTGAAACTGCCCCTCAGAAACGCCATCTCTGTAGAAAATAATGCGAGTTGGTTTAAATCTGGTTGATTTGTAGAACTGAATAAGTAACTCCCTGACCATGGCAGCCAAATCCTGGATGATTTCTTGACGGTGCTGCTGGACACGAACAGTGGCACAGTATCGATTTGGGTGAGCATCCATACTACCAACGACCTGTTTAAATATACCATGCTTAAGACCAAACTGGTAAAGAGCATTTTCTTTCAACTTACTTTAAAAACAAATATGCAGTCCATAAAGAAAAAGAGCAATACAAAGTTAATTTTATTTTACAAGGAGAGAAGTGTTCAGAATTCAAGAGTCTACCTATGACTATATATAGTGCTACGACAAGGGTTTTGCAATGTTAGTGGCATTTTTTAAGTCTGTACTTCACCTCGATTTCAAGAAATAAAAGATTTCACAACTGGTTCATACCACAAGGATGCTGCTGGATCCCTGGTTCTTTCCTGACTCGTGTGGTCTCTGTGCCCAGGAGCCTTTACTGCCCAACCCTCATTTGCATTTGTCTGGCTGATGACCAGGGATCTGTGTTCTCTGTTTGCTGCAGAAAAGTGCAGATTTTTCTCCTTTAAAGGAGAAGAATGAGAATTTTTATCTTTTAAAAGGAGAAAATCACAGCTTTCTCCTTTACAGGAGAAAAATGTGGGAAACTGCAGGTCTGCCCTGGTGCAAGCTGCCCTGGTGCGAGTGGGTGGGGCTTGGTCCCAAGTGGCGCACTGTGGGGGCAGCTGCAGGGCCAGATCTGGCTCGTGGGCTGTTTTTTGCCCACTCATGAGGGCTGATCCATTATGGTACTTCTTAAGTTCTTACAATGTCTGCCAGGGGCCTAAGATACAATCACCTGTACCATTGCAGTCATCTAGTTCGTAAATGACTGCACTAATTATCTTGAAAAGCCACTTGTAGGTTACTGTTATCATTGAGTGCAGCAGCTTCTCTGTGACGGATTACAGGGAGCTCATTATACCAACAACTGGCTGCCTGTTTGCTTTTGGGGGCAGTTCAAAACGCTGACTGGAATGAGACCCCCCAGTGCCAGGAGACTGCTAATGCAGTTAAGCCAGGAGTATGTAGATTCACACACGTGAGGGAGGGGAACATCATGGAGCTTACCATGGAGATATTTGGGTAGCCGCTACTGTACAGTTGCAGGGGAACCCAGGAAAGATGAGAGTGAAGGCCCAGCAGTGAAACATTCATACATAGTATTTTTTATCTACACACTGCATACCTTCTGTGAAGCCTTAAAATGTGCATATTTGAGAAGTGGTTTGGCCTTCTGAATGCAAACTGCCAGCCCTAGTCCACTTCCAGCAAGGGATGCAACTGAAGGAAATCTCCCCCTGCCTGTTTTGGTGCATGTTGCTTTGCAGGAGAATATCATGCAACTCAAGGTGAATAATGAATACACAGACTGCCCAGCAAGGATCAGGGGCAAAATATAGAATACATCTTGGACTAGAGACATTCAGAAAGGTTGGCCACATTCACTTCCAGGCTGCTTTATTCCTCACATGGCAGGGGAGAAGGACAGTAAATTTCACAAAAATGCACAATATGGAGATTCTTACTGGCAATCTGTAAATGTTATAGCACTGTGAATTAATGGGATATAACTCTTAGTGGATTATAATATTGCTATCAGCCTGAAAAGGCTCCTGGGAAAAGAAAAAACAAACATTTATAAAAGGTATTAGAGTAATTTTCAAATCAGCAAGCTCTCCCACAACATTAAACAATGATTACCAGAGAAAATTCTCCAGAACAGGTTTCTGGAGATTATGTAGTTAAAGAGTGTTTAATATTATGACTGGGGTACCAGATTTACAGGCTACTCTTCTACAACTACTTAGAAAAACTCAACCAACCAACCAACCAACCAAAAAAAAACCCCAAACAGATTTAAATTAAATTACTGAAAGTCAAGACTACTACACAATTTACTCACTGCAGCAATGGAAGGCTTTTTTCCATCTCCAGCTGGTGGATGAGTGACATCTGCACCAAGGAATATAACAGGCTGCTGAAACACTGGTGGCCTAATGAAGAGAAAGTAAATGTTGGAACAAATGTTATATAGATAATATTGGGAAAAAACTATAAGTGGCAATTGAAGAATCCTAGCCATCCCTGTCACAGAGGAATGCATAATCTGTTTATCATGATCGTTGTTAACTGTTTGTATTCTGGTAGCATCCTGACCCTGATCAGAGTCCCTTTCTGTTAGCTGCTGCACAGACATGAAGGGCAAAGTTTTTAAAACAGTAGGCTCCTAGTGCTCATTGATTTCCATGGGAATCAGGCACCTAAATACCTTTAAAAATCTGAGGCAAGGGGCATACAATCTACTTTCACTAAAGTGACCTAAGAAGGTGAAAATTGTACCTCCATACTTCTTATAGCATCTGAAAGCAGGTTACATTTTGGTACCCTGCACATCTTAACTTCCTCTAAGGAAAACAACGTATGTGATATTAGAAACGGGGGCGAGCAACACATAGCTCTGTGGGTTGGATCTGGAGGGTGGGGGGCTTTCCCATGCAATGCTGGGTGGGCTTTGCATACGCTCCGCATGGGTGGTGGTTGCATAACCCTGCTGCACCCCAGACAGGCAGGCAGGGGTGGGGAGTTGAATATACTGGCACTCTGCTATGCGTGGGCAGCCAGGGGACTTTACATGCCAGCACAACCAGGGAGCAGTGGCAGTAGTGGGCTGGGTGCATTGGCTCACAGCTCCAAAACCTTGTCGACCTTTGTGTTAGAGCATTAAAAACTGAATATTTTGGTTTAAACTAAAAAAGCCTGAGTTCATCAGAAACTCTGCAGGGATTTTTCTAAGTAATTTTTAATTAAGGACCTCCCTAAATATTTGTATTGGGAATGTTTAGCTACATCAGGTCTGTTTGAAAGCTGATATTCTAAAAGGCAATAAAGTAAATTGAAATACCATCACAGAGAGACTAAAATTGTCCTTCTCCTAATTTGATACTTTCTTTTAGCTTCCTCAGAAGAAGTAGCTACAAAATGTACACAACTATTACTTTTCAAAATTTCATTTCTCAGGTATTTCAGAGTGTTTCTTCAGGAAGCAATGCCATGATATGGTCATTTTAAAAGCTTTACAATTCAGAATTTTTTTTGGATACAAGTAAATGATAACCAATTAACAGTAACTCTACAATCAACACCAAAAACTCCACCTTTCGAGAACTTCACTATTTTGATGGGAATGTTTTTGTGCCTCTGTGGTTATTTATATTTTCATAAGAGTACGGTTTAATCGGAATAACAAGCAGAATTCCTATTTTTTTGGGTGCATTATACCATAGGTGGGTGGCAGTTGATTGGATGGAAGAACACGTCATTCAAATGAAAACATCCTACTTCTTAAGAACAGACAGATGTTTCTGGGTAGAAAATGACTATTCAGAAATACTGATGTGCTTTTAAAAAGTAAAGTTGAGACCCCTCAGCATGAAAAGCCTGTATTTCCTCTTACTATGAAGTCACCATAAAATTTTGCAGAAAAGCTCAAACTGGGGAGAACTATTTAACCACTAACAAGTATTTATAAAGCTTGTGTTTCATGAAATGCATAGCCTGCCCCAGGCGATCATTTTTACTTGCTTTTACATTTTTACTAACATTGTAGTAAACATTTTTACTACAGTGTTATGCAGATGTAATGCTTCTTCCAACTGTGCACAATTATGCTAGGTAAAGACATTCAAAAAGCCTGAGGCAGAGTTGATCCATGTTACACAGTTTTCTGTAAGCGGCATAGTTTAGATGGGTAGCAAAGAGAACACACATTTGCCCTCTGGCGGGAGAGGAAAAATCTTAGACCAGGTTTCACCTTTTTTAAACCAGTCCGTGCGCCAAATTTCTGTTCTGTTACAGGTATAGACTGGTTTCTGATCACCTGTACCAGCCAAAGTGTAATGTCTGCATTTGGCCCTAGTGCAGTAAATGCACTTTACAATGTGAAGGAAAAATGCTGCTCCTCTGAGCAGCATGTTTTCTAAGTGCTCGCTGCTGTATTACTTTTCACCAACTGCTCTTCAATTGCCCTCAGCTTGGTCAAGTAGAAGTTTGCTTATCTCTGCGAAGCAGCACGTTGACTCTTTCTGAAAGCGGAGCTAAGTCAGAAATAGTTGCCATTTTGTTTTGAGAATGGAAATGCAATGACTAAAAGTGGCATTTTTTTTTTATTTGTTTTTACAGACACATACACTCACTAAAGCTACTTTGTATTAGTTTTACCCATGATAGTACTCCATATCCTACACAGTTGGACCAGAACAGCTGAATATCACCGCGCTTCATTTTCCACTGAAAGCTCTGTTCGCACAGTTCTAATTAAAGAATATTTATTAGGTGATGATGCATGAGCCAGAAAGAATGCTGAATTTCAGATTCCAATTAGTTTGCAGGCCTGACGGTTTAAAAATAGGATTTTTTTTTTCCTGAGACAAACTGATTTAGAAGTCACTGACATACAAAGACAGAGTCCCAGAAAAACACTTCTACAAAGTCACTTTTCAAGAGCTGTACTTATGCTGAAGGCTGTTACCAAGGCATTGCTCTAAGAACTAAATCTGGGGAAAAATATTTGGAAGTAAAAATAAAATATTTTTGCTTCTTTTCTTCCAGATGCTAAAATAAATGCCTTGTAGCTGCATGTGAAGCACTTTGTAGATTATAACACCAAAAAGAGAATTATTTTGCCTGAACTCCTGAACCCAGGGGATCTGAACATAATACACAGGGGGAAGCAGAGGCAAAGAGGCTGTAGATGGGAAGGTTCGTGATCCCACTGAAAATCACTTATAATGCCGGTACTGGAAAAATAGTCCAACACCTTCCAAGCCTATGCCTCATCCACTGAGTTACTGTTGGCCATCTAAGGATATCAAGTGGATGGTAAGCAATGAAAACAAAACCAGCTCATCTCAGTGGCAGCAGTGAAAGTTTACACATGGGGGCAAATCCAAAGAGGGTGCAGGAGCCTGGTCACACTCCGCTTTGGCTGTGTCCCACATGCTGCAGCGAGCTCTCAGAGCTCACCATCATGTCAATGCAGCTCTAAATGTGGGAGCAATATACATGAGCTCCACAGCACAGGGTCTGCCTGGAGTCCCTGCTTTCCAGCTCTGGAGCCTGCTGTTGTTCTGCTTTTCCCCTCCCCAAATTCAGCAGCAGGGGAAAAGGAAGGGATGAGTGGTGACAGCAGCAGCAACAGCAGCAACTGCTCAGCCCAGCTCCTGCTTTCACTGCAGTAGGGGGAAGTGGCTTTGGTTGCATCATGTGCCACACAGCCAACAGGGGTGTGGCTACAACCCTGTCACCATGAACCTGGATCTGCTCCTGTTTATACAAGTACAAATGATATGTGACGTCTGGAAATAAAGTATGTACAGAGCCACTTCCCTGCGGCCTTTATAGTTTAAGTTTTAAATGACTAGTGGAAATAATGGTTCCGGTTCCAAAGCAACAATACAGATCAGAGCTTCCCTAAAGGTCACTGGAGTTTAGATTTTGGTTCTCTACCAAAGACCTACTGTAATAGTAGACAGCATTCACATTTTTCCACTGGTAAGGCCACTCAGGAGTTCACAGCCAGAGTAGAAGCTCCTTAATAAATTCCCCATATGGAATTGCCTCCACATACCCAAGCTGTAAGCTAAGTGAAGCACACTGATTTCCCAGCGTTTGTGCTGCAGCTGGCTACTACAATCCCAGTAGGAGACTGCAAAAAGTTCTAGTGTGAGATTCCTTGGAATGAACCTCTTATTTCAGTTTCCAACACACACACACTCTCTCTCTCTCTCTCTCTCTCCCTCTTTACAATAAATGAACAGCAAGATGCAAACTGCTGAAACAAGCAACCCTGATCACAATGGCCACGTCCAGATGTGCACAGGAGTGTTTTTAAAGTTGGATAAAAACACAGGATAAAAATGGCTATTTTAACATAAAATGTTCCCCTTAAAATTAAAAAACAAAAATGGATAACTTACCTTCCCTGTGGCAGTAAAATGTTATTTACTCCTCCTAATTTGACGTTGATCTTTAAACAAAGATTGGACAAAGTTTGCGGTGTTGTTCTTTGCACATTTTTCATCTGAACACACTGGGTAGCCATCCCCAGTACAGTATCACCAACACGCTTTACTTCCGCTACCAAGTCAAAAAAGAAAATAAAAACTAAACAAATATTTAAATACAAGTATTTAATACATTAAGTGGCATTCTTTCAGGCACGATCACCTGCCCCAAGTGCTATAAACATCTGTCCTGGAAGAAACCATTTTATCCTGGGAGAAAGTGCAATAGTTCAAATAACCATGTCTGTTGTACAGGAAGAAACCCTAACAATGTTCACAGGATAAGAATTGCTAACAGTTTGTCCTGGGACACTGCAAAGTGTCTGAATAGTTGTCTTGGGATTGCATCAGTGAATCCATGGCAGAAAATGGTGATATGTATCACACCAATCCCATGATATTTGTGTTCTGGGACAAACGTAGGCACAACCTGTCCTAGGACAAATGCAATGTCAGTTCCTAGCCTAGGTGAATTTATTAATACCATTAGTTTAAATGTATTTACCCATGCTGTTTTTCAATTCTCTAACTGCTTCCTGCTGAAGAGACAGTTTAACAGGATCCTAAGTATAATGGCATATTTATCATTCTAATCACTTTATTTTATACTGTTACCTCAACTTTAAAACAGTATAGAGGCACTGATTGTAACCCCAAAGTTAAGGTTCTATTTTGAAAATTAAGGAGCATAAATTCCTGTTCTGTTCTATGTGTAGGTGACCACTCAGTGACAACTTTCATATAAAGTTAGAAAACATCAAGCGTCTAAAAGAGATCTTTATTTAGGTCTGTGTAACAGATTTTACTAGTAAGCATTTAAGAACTTGGCACTGCATAACGTCAGCTTTTAAAATTTTATTGCGACCATTTATATTTAAAACAATGCTGGGGCTCTAAAGAAGAATTTATGTTACGTAAATAAATTCTACGTGTAATTTAAGTAAAATATTTAGAATTAGTGATTTTTTTTTTTTTTTTTTTTTACTGTTAAACACCAGGGGCTAGTATAGGAAGTGCAATAAATAAGACAAGTGGCATTCATTCAACCGCAAATGAGTACCTTCTCTTCCAAGGTTATCAATTCATCAGATTAAAATTTGTTCCCTGTAACTAAAATGTATCATTTAGCAGACTGGAACATAGCATTTCTCCAGAGAGACTCACAAGTCCCTCTTAAAATAGCTAAAAACTCTTATTCTCACTATGACAGAGGCAGAAGCTGCTCATTGTTAAAATGATCGCCATTCCCTTCCAATCTTCGCAGTAAAAATTCAGGCTGCAAGAGAACTACTGGATTACTAATCCTAATGGGAAGCAAGCCAAACTGCCCTTTGGAAAAAATCCTGGAAGTCCTCCTGTGCTAGGTAAGAAGTGACACCAAGTAGCACATGGAAGTGGAATAGACCAGTGCCTCTTCTTCCAGCAGTTAAGGGAGATTAAGAGGCATCCCTTCCCAGCATCAGAGGAACAACATGGGAGTTTGTGTACTCAAAATAATTTCTAACTTGAAATGGTAACACTAATTTGGAATCGGCAGTCTCTTTGAGAGGCTCAAATAAATAAGAGAGAGATCTGATTATTCTGCTCCTTCCTCTTTATGGGTCCTTGGTTCTTTATGGATCACTCCATTACAGCTGCCTTTATTTAGAAATAGGGAAAGTAAGGAGTTCAATGTTTGCAACATCAAATAAAGCAACTGAGACACTGGACAGGATGAAGGGGGACAGGCCATATTACTGTATTTTGTTAAATGTGCCCTCAGCATGAAGACTGCAACTGAAACTGTAGAAAAATATGGACAGAGTTGCCCTATGACAAGGT